TTTTTTTTTTTTGTGTTTTATGTATTTAAAAAGTCTCATATGTTCACCAAGGCTGCATTTATTTTTTATCAAAAATGCAGTAAAACAGTAATATTGTGAAATATTACTGCTATTTAAAATATCTGTTTTTGTATTTGAATATATTTTCATGGGAAAGCTGCAGTTTTGGCATCATTTCTCCCTTATTTTTTGAATAAAAAATCTTAAATCTATTAAAAATAGACATATTTTGTAACATTATAAATGTTTACAATTAAATGCATCCTTGCTGAGTAAATAAATATAAATGCTAAATTAAATTTTTTTTTTTTTTACAAATCTTACTGACCCCAAACTTTTGAATACTGTAAAAAAAAAAACAGATTTGCCATTAACTTTGTAGAATAACGTGTTTTTACAGACTGATAAATAAATAAATCTAAGGAAATGGTTTACATTACAGTTCTATTCATTATATTCCTGTGGACTCTTCCAAATGAAGAGTAATTACTGATTACAGATGACACAGAATCAATAGATTCACTTTCATTTCACTTTTTCAAAATTGCTACAGTGTAATCGGAACCATGTGCATCCAGAGGCTTGGCGTCCCTGAGTTTGACATTGCTAGGAATGTACTCGATCTGATCTATGCCCAGACTCTGGCTTGGTAAGTCAATATCCGCATCTCTTCAGGTCTATACTTTGATATTCCTTCAAGCTGATTGTCTCTTTTATCTCTCTTCCTGTCTGCCCCAGGATTGGAATTTACTTCTCCCCCCTACTTCCTGTAATGCAAGTCATTAAATTGTTTATCATCTTTTACTTGAAAAAGGTAAGCGCCATTATAGCATCACTTTGTCCTTTGCAGTCGAGATTATATTGCATGTTCTTAGTCTCAAGGTTTCTGTTTCAGATCAGTCTGAGCATGAACTGTCAGCCTCCCAAACACACGGGCAGAGCCGCACAGATGCAGACGGTCTTCATCGCCCTGCTCTTCTTCCCCTCGTTTGTGGGCACACTGTCCATGGTAGCATACACAGTGTGGAGGTGGAGTTGACTACCGACTAAGTGACATATCTTCAATGTAGTTTGTTGCTTCATTTTGTTTCGTATTATCGTGAACAATTCCTAATTCGCCGACAGACAAGAGAGTGGCTCCACTCAATGATATAACAGACTTTAAATCTGAGGTGTTTTTGCATTCCAATGCTCTGATTTTTGGTATTGTTTGTCTATTTAAACATGACCTAGATGGGCGCTTTGTTCTGCAAGCACCACGTTTTTAAAATGCCATGTCGGTTTATTTATTTAGTTGTTTTGAAAGGGTATGTTCATGGCAAGAACAGGGTAAAGGGATACTCCACTTTTTTTTTTTTTTTGGAAATAGGCTCATTTTACAACCCCACCAGAGTTAAACAGTTGAGTTTTACCGTTTTCAAATCCATTCAGCCGATTTTCTGATATTTAGAAGAATATCAGTAACCAGACATTTTCTGGTCTCATTGACTTCCATAGTATTTTTTTTTCCTACTATGGAAGTCAATGAGACCAGAAACTGTCTGGTTACTGATATTCTTCTAAATATCAGAAAATCTACTGAATGGATTCGAAAACGTCAACTCAACTATTTAACTCTGAGGGAGTTGTAAAATGAGCCTATTTCCAAAAAAAGTGGAGTATCCCTTTAAAAAAATCTAACCGTGTCAAGTTAAAGGAACAAAAAACCTGACTCAAAGCCCATTAGTGTTTTAAGATGTAAAGCCACGCATTGTGTGAATGAGGCTGTTTTGGCTCTTGCATTTAAATTTGTGAGATACAGCACTGGATCTAACGCTAGTGCGGGCCGCCGGGACAACCTGTCACTCACATAACATCACAGCAATTGCAAACCACAGCGATCCAACAAACTCAAGTGCCGCCTTAAATTTTTTCATGTTCCAGAATGTGTTTTTTATTCGAATATAGACGTCACAAAAGGGGATAAAAGATTATCGCAACTTCCATTTTGATTTCCGACTTGATTAAAAATAAGACAAAACGACAAAAAAATCAAGATGTTTCTTATAATAACTCAACCTCTGAACAACTATTGGATATATGAGGCAGCCTAATTTAAAAGTGTAATTACTATATAGCCAGAAAAGCCATAAAAATTTATAAAATAATTTAAAGAAATGTTTTTTTTTATTATTGAATGTACATTTTTCTAGTTTTGCCAGACTTCCATATATTTTAATGGGGTAAAATTTCTGAGTTCAAAATATAATTTTAAAATCCTTCTCCTTAAACCTCATAAAATAAATCATGAGGCAAAAAATTAGGCATTTGAATATTTTCGTGGGGGGTTGGGGTTATGGATGGGAGGACCTTGCCCTTGGTGTCTAAAAATGTTGAGAACCACTGGTCTAGCACATTATGTAGATAAAAGCAGTACAGTGGGGTGCAAAATGCATTGTGTGAACCAGCACTTACTGTATTTTACAGTCTTTTCCACTTGTCTTGCAGCCTGGAGCCCTCAGTTCAGTGTGGGCCCTTCCAGGGTCTCGACACCCCGTTCTACGCCATTTTCAATTGGATTGATTCAATCCAGGAGGACCCTCCTGAAAGCAAATGGGTCTGGTGGATATTTGAAAACGTACTGAGAAGTGAACTCTTCTACTATCTGATTACCCTCATCATCCTGTAAGTCCACAAGCAGGATGTTTTGTGAACGCCTTAACACGAAAGGAAACCTTTTTTCTGGATCTTTCTTCATACTTCCCTCTCTTCTTTCAGAGTCATCACTTTTTTTCTCTGGCAAATCACTCAGGGACGGAAACAGCTCATCAAGACTCTGCGAGAGCAGATTGTGAATGTGAGTGCCGAGATAATACGGACCTCGCTTTAGCATCAGTGTCGTCAAAAACGAATAGTTTTAACCTCAGTGACTCTTCTTCCATCTGCCTGTCAGGAAGGAAAAGACAAAGTGTTTCTCTTGAATAAACTACAAACTATACAGAAGCAGAGAACGGAAATGGCCCCTTACATACCACCTCAGGTGCGTGTTTCTCATGTGTTCTGTCTGGTCTAACATACTTTCTTCTTGCATCTAGTTATCGTTAGTAAAATACTGCACTCAACAGAAAGAGAAACATGTTGTGATTGTGGAGATTTCAGCCCAACACATGAGAACTCAGGGAACTACAGTCCTTAGCAAGCTTCAGGGAAACCCCAGAATAGGGCACCTTCATACTGAAGATACTCTTCTGCCAGGGGCCATGCCTTCAAACGCCACAACCTCTTAACAGAGCTCACACCGGTAGCCCACGATCCCTTCTGACTTGCAGCGGGGATCGAAATAAGATCAATATTTTTGTAAAATGTATTTCCATCTCACTCTTTCTGGCAGCCTGTAAAAGCAGAAAAAAAGCATAGCATTTTCTTGGGAGGTTATACATTGAGTAAAGCTGATACTTTTTGCTCATTACAAAGCACTTTTAAACATTCTCATCATCTTGATCTTATTTTCTGTCATGTAGGACTTCGACCAGACGCCACATTTCAACACAAACTGGATTAATACTCTGCCCTTCGATATGTGACACTATATTCTCTGATTATTTTTGATGTACATGCATTTATCTGTAACTTATTCCGAAAAATCTAACTATCCTGTGTATTGGATGGGGAGAGGAATTATTTGGAAACCATGTTTTCCCACAACTTAACTTGTTCATTATTTAACATTTTCATTTAGTTAACTAAAACAGAAGAACAATTTAATAAGTCATGGGAATGAATTCTAAACGCATGGCCATTACATCCTTTTTTCACCCTGCAAGTCATGTGCAGGGCTCTGTACTTTCCTCATGAGAAGTAGAAAAAAAACAAGCTAACATTTTACCCCAATCATATCCTAATAATTTATTCTGCTATCTTTGTAAATATCAACAAATAAATATTTTAATATGTAAATAAGTGTCATCTGTGGTGAGCGATGTTGGATGTAAAGAACCTCAAAACTTTGCTTTACTGATAACAATGTCAATTTTATTGTGAAAAAGTCATTGCTTTCATACACTTAAGAACTGTACAATCAATAATTTAAAAAAAAGTTTTTCATTGTTATTGTTGCAAGAATTTCTCATAATTATGCAGGTATTTCAGCAGCTTTTAGCTTCAACCAAAGGAAAATAGTGTTAAAATTGTGTGTTCCTACTGCTCCACCAAATCACTTTTCCCTTTATCCCGTTCACACAGAAGAGGAAACACCAGGAGGGTCCCGCCATGCTGCCCGACATTAAACTTATAAACCAAGAGCATGTTTTTTTGTTTGTTTTTTTAAATATAATCAGAGGCTTCAGTTACAAAGAGGAAAAACACTTTACAATACAAAAAAAAAAAAGTTAAATGAAACATTCTAACTAAGTCACAGAATTTCTTTGCACCGTATGATGTGCATATTACAGAGAAGAACAACCAGTGCTCTCGACCGAGAGGCTCAAACTAATACCTACGGATTCTGAAGATGTCCAAAAAGGAATAAAAGAACACTTCTTTGTAGTATTTCTATTACCACAGCCTTTCGGGATTCGAAGATTAATGGGGGGGGGGAGGCCAATAACATTTTGTGGACCCTTTAGAATTCATCTCACCCAACAGATGGATACTAATATGCACAACTGCTCTAAATGCAAGACCAACACGCGCCAGGTTCATTCTATCAGCTATAGCGACTGCAAAAGGCCAGTAGCGAATAGCTTATAGGTCAAACACTGAGAGCTTGCACAGCCCTCTAGAGGAAGTTTAAAGGCCTCCTGCTGGCAGCCTGTCGCTCAGCCCGGTTTAAACAGGCTTCATTGGGCAGGTCTGTCGCTGGAGGACGAGGCTCGTCCCTGAGATGAAGGGGGCGGAGGAGAAACGGGGAAAAGATGAGGAACATCTATTATTCAGCAAACGCGGCTCATTAGACCTGGAAGAAATGCGCTGCTGCTTCGGACGTGATTCGAAACAGTCAGGAAAAGCCAAAAGAAGTGCTGTAGATTTCATCTGTGCTTGATATTTAGGAGCAAGCTTGAATGGGTTTATTATCCTTCATTCCGTCATATATATAGAGAAACCATGCTGTATGTGCAGATTAAAAGGGCTCTGAGCAAAAGAGCAGACTTTTGAACTCATGCGACAACACTGAAAACTGGTAGAACACATGGGATTTGAAATCATTGTGCATTTTTGCCAAAGTATAACGGGAAAGTACTGAAATCAAATGTGTGGCAACTGAAGGTTTTACAAATGAGAAAAATCAGGCAGTTGTGGTACTGAACGCTGGCCATTAGGAGAGGTAATTACAGTATGTTAAAATATTGTAAATGTGATGAATAATCCCACAAATCATGCAGGAAAAAGCAAGTCAGAGGAGCCGAGTAAAAAAATACAAATAAAAAAAACCTCTTTGCCAATACTGTCCCCTGAGGAGAAATTTCCTGTAATCCGTGTTTAAGGAGAAGCCGGTTCTGACCTAAAGAGTAACACCTTTTTTTCTGGATCTTCAAGGACTTTCCAGCAAACAGAATGCACATGGAAATGCTTGTGCCGTCTCTCTTTTTAGCCGAGTGGTCCCACAGTCCACATTCTGTTGTTAATTCACTATGTTGATTGAGTCATTGTGCAAACGGCCGGCAAATTCAAAGACCACCAATTTGCAGTGCAAATCACATTTTTAATACATCAGTTCATACGCAAGCACTACAAGTAATTTCGCATCAGCCCTCTCATTGTTGGTAAGCATGCAAGACCATGTGACCATGTTGCAGGGAGAACAGAAGGGCTATTTCAGAACAGAAGAGCCAAAAAGAGGAAAACCATATACAAAGCACAGAGGATTATGAGTGTGAGCAACCGAGAACTCAACCAAAGCGTAACAACTTCAAAATGAGGCCTGTCAGCCACTGCAGGGTTTAATCTGCATGAATTCTCCAGCAGAGGGCGCCAGTGAAGAAGGAAACATGCTGTCGGTGATCACTGCATTAAAAAACAAAGAGTCTGATGAAGGACTCGGTTTTTTATTCAAGGTCTGTGGGTGAGAAATCAAATGTACTGCAGCAATGTGAGGGGAACAATGTAGCCGTTCTCTCCACGTTGGGAGGTGCCACACCTCTGTTGCGTCATCGACCCAGCCCTGTGTCGGTTTCCTTGTGTGTTTGCCCGTGTGCACCTGAGTGTTATATAAGGGAAGGGAAGGGAGGGGGCGGCCCCACCCCTATGCCCAGAGGCTAGGAGATCTTACAGTTGCTCCTGGTGCAGTTCTGTGGCGGACTCTGAGGCGGCCGGATGGATTTGGAGCGTTTGAGGCTGTTGCCTTTGCTGCCTCCGGCGGCGTTGGCCAGCGAGTAGGAACGACCGTGCATCATGACGGCGTTCATGCCGTTCGCCATGGAGAATGACTTCAAATGGCTCTTGATGGCTACAGGAAGCGGTAGCTTATCGATTAGGTGCACAGGGGTACAGGAAACAATGGCGCGGCAGCACAAGTCCTGCAGACTGAATACTGCAATGACACAAAAGACAAAACACACACGCTTGAGTTACAAAACAAAGGCGATCAGGACGTTGAGCGGTTACATAATCGAACCATAAAAACTAAATAAGCAAGCATGTGATCCTCCAGGGATTCATTAGTAGCTGTCTCAATGCATCTGCATGCTGAGATCATTTTTATTCTCTTTACAAAAGTAATGAGAACGTTTTAAATGATTCAACATTCCCTCAGCATATGTTAACACGGTCATTTTTTTTTTCAGATAGAGTCCAATGTAAATGGTTAGACTCACATGGGAATATTATTTAAGTATTAGAATGTAATCTACATTTTTGTTTTAACTCTGGGAAGATGTTTGATGAGTTTAGCTAAAACATCAGCGCTGTTAGCAAGGCTTCTTTAACACAGTCAGTGGTTGGGATTGAAACCATATTTACTAACAGTTGTAACTCTTGAATAGTCCTGTTCATGCCTACAGTTTTTAGGGGGTTCTAAACTTGTAATAAACATGAATGATATCTGTAACTATAGTGAAAACGCCTTCATGTATAATGCATTTTATGCCTGGTTCAGATTACACGATTTTAGCCCGATTTTGGCACGATCCGTTTGACGTAGGGTGTCTTGGGGATTCGTAAACGACAACGGGTGTCGGGACGCAAGATTCGGTCGTATCATCTCGTATATTGTGTCATAGTGGGCGACAACCTACGTCGCGTCTGTGATGCTTCACGACATCACGACAAAAAGACTAGCATGTTTAATTTTTTTAACGGTCGTCCACGACGGTTCCGTCACATGTATGAGTTTGACCAATAGGAGCACAGAAGCCTTTCCGTACACAACTTTCAAAAATGGCGAAACGAAAGAGAGACGATGGTGCTAACTTTAAAACTAAAAGTAAAAATAAGAAAACAATATTTGATCTCAAGTTCTCTTTGGAGGATTGACAGCCCATACTGTCCTCTTCAAGCAATCCAGGAACGTGCCCATTGTTGGGTTTTCTTTCTTTTTTTACTGTAAAGCCTTCTTTTCTTTTCACTCGCTACTAGTTTCACCTTCTCCATGACATCACGCACGCCGTTAAAGACGGCATGCGATGACTGGTCAGGAAGCAACGTGTAGTCTGACATGTGTCTTGTCCACGACACGACAAGATTTTAGGAGTCAAAATCACGTAATCTGACAAAGTGACTATCGGAACAGACAAAAAAAAATCGTGTAATCTGAACCAGGCATTAAAGGTATTCATAACGTGAATAATTGTAACCAAAGTTAAAATGCATTACAATATTTGCAGATTCCTTGTCACATCTGAAATGGTTGCTTGTCATGTGTTTTAATGCATCATATGTTCTAAAGGAGTAACCTACATATTATAATGTATTATAACTGTTTACACAAGCATAACATAAGCCTTAAGTAAAGTGTTATCCAAATAGGTTCGTCGATCAATTCCAAATTAACCGACAGCCTTTTCTAAACCAACAGATGGATCTTTTATTTTATTCATAATATAATATAATTAGGACGGCACGATATAAAAAAATGAAAAACTTGTTAAACAACCAATAACATAACAGTTCTTGCATGAACAGTCAAGGAGAATGTGTAAATGGCTGGCATTTTGAAAGGCATGTTGAAAGCACTTCCCGTTCTCTGAAATGCAGGATACCGCATCTGCTAAACAGCTCATCTGGGGCACTGCGAGGTCTCATGGGAAAATCCCACATAATAGTGGAAACAGACAGAGAAAGAAGTGCTTCACTGAAAGCCTTCTGCCTCTAATTACGCAGCTCTGGACGACATACAGTGTGGTTTTCTATGCTAATGGAAAACTATGCTGATCGTGCCTTCCTGCATCACTCAGAAGGTTAATGGTAATGAACGGCTGTATCAGTGGCATTACGGTCTAAAATATCAGGAAGAATAGGCCTTTTTGTCACTTTGAATGGATTTGAAAGTGAGGAGATGTTGCCGTATCGGTCTATCACAGGTTATCTGAATGCTCAGGAGAAAGACTCACCTCTGTTGGGCTTCCAGAACTTCTCCATGCCATGCCTCATGAGCACGATGCGTGAGAGCTCCGTAAACGACTCTATGACGTTGAAGTTACAGAGGGGGCTCACTTCGAAAAACGTCATGCCGTTTTTTTCTGCGTATGCCCGTGCCTGTTCTGTGGGGACCTGTCGCTTGAAAGCCAGGTGCAGCCGGTTACCCACAAGAATACGGGGCACACCAGGTGCATGCTGAGGAAAGACAAAGAGAAAAGAAAGTGGGTTACAAAAGGGGGGCCAGAGAGATGAGAACGAGGGAGATGCACAGTCCTGTCAGACTGAGTGAATCTCAAACAGTGTCACAGCTAGTCTCATTTATTTATTCAATAAGGCCTGTCATTTCTGTGGCCTTCTCTAGTCCACAGAGAAAAGAGCACTGTTGAGGAGCTGTACGAGGCAGCTGCAAATAGATTCAAATCAAACCAGAGTCAAGTCTCAAATCTTATTTCTTCGAATCGTGCTCCAAAAAGATGCGACTCAAGACCAAGTAGGGATGCACAATATATCAGTATAACCAATGCTCTGCATACCCAAGCCATTCATGGCCTCGCTGAAATAACATTAATACTATAAATTACTATAAATTCCCTTGTTTGAGGTGTACCATAAAGCTTACATGGTAAAATACGTATGCAATTTTCCGTCATTTGTTTATTTGCCAAACGATGATTAAATCCCATCCAACGCATCTGTAACCAGGTGCATTTTTCCCATAACGCTCCACCCAGCATACATCCACGGGTTAAAAAAAAGTCACCGCTCACCACTGCCGTATAGGTTACCATATCAGACAATATTACAGATTATTTACATTTTGAGTAACGCTCATTACTGAACATTCAATTGTGCATTAATTAACACTTTTTACATTTAGATTATTTATAATAGTATATGTATTTTTATAATATAATTAAATCTTACTGATAAATACAAAGCCAAATGATTAATTTACACTATTATCAGAAATTGAAATAAATAAATAAAATAAAACTATAATGTATACACTAGTAGTCATATAATATGGGGATATATCTACACTACTGTTTAAAATGGGATTAAATAAATTAAGTAAGACAAGTTATTTTAAATTAAATTAATATTTCATACCATTTCTGTTTTTGTTTTTATTGTAATACTTTTTTTTTACAATTTTTTGAAAATCTCACTGACCCAAAACTTTTGAAGTGAAGTGCACGTTATTATATGTTGATTGCTAAAACCGTTTACTCCCTAAACTCATTTGACACTTACTGAGCAAATCCCTGCACCATGCACCCTTTCAAAGCTCAGCAAGGTCAAAGCTCATTCTGTGTTGAAATGACTCATGAATTGTCTGACTCAAGTAACAGCAGCAAAGTCAAAGCACAGCCTCAAGTATTCAAATATTTACTAAAGCAGGTCAAAGGTTCTCAAGTTTAAGTCTCCTGTTCCAACTAATACAACCCTCTTTCTTTCCATCATATATGTGGTTTGTCCAGCACAGATATGTTCCCGACATATGCATCCACATAATTAAACACAAGAACATACAACTTTCAAACAAGGAAGGAAGGAAGAGACTGTAACAGAGAAGCCTACGAGGAAGGGGGCTGCAGTAAGAGAGGACATCCTCTCTGGATATCAAGCACAGGGCCAGGAACAGGAGGACGAAAGACAATATAGCTATAATAAATGGAAGTAGGGCTGGATATGTGGGTATGTATGTATGCATGTATGTATGCATGTATGCATGTATGCGTGTATGTAGACATATACACACATATATATATATATATATATATATATATATATACACACACACACATACAGTATATATATAGACAGTATATATATATACACACACACACCTAAATTAACAAGACTTTAGCATTTCTGTCAGTGAAACAACACACTAAATCCTGTAAATCATTGAAATATCAGTAAATAATGGTTACCGAAATAATATAAGAAAGTATTAATTAAAAAACATTCGTTCTATTTTTCCCAACAAGATGCGTCATATAGCCTACCGCTCTGAGAGGGATGTGGGACACGAACAGGAAATAGACTACTCTTTTCTAATGTCTTCATGTTCTCCCCTGATGTTCCGACACACTAATACTCATTGCAAAAGGTCTGAAGAGCGAATTTTATCTTCCGCAGTGCCAAGACATTTAGGCTATGTTTGATTTTGGGATGCCAGAGAAAGTGAAACTAGACGGTCTCGTATCTCTCACGGAGGAGTGGAAGCATAAAGGAAGAGCGACGACAATGAAGATCTTATGTTGTGTTTTGTTTTATTATATGTGACAGCAGTCGTCTGAGGGGCTGCTGTTTTTTACTTTCAATTTTATTGCTCGCCGGTTCCCGCCTTCTCCTTCCCACAACAACGAACCTCGTTACAATGAGCCAAAAGGAAGAAACATTTATAATTCCCTGTGTAAGACGCAAGTGAAGATTTGGAGAAAGAAACAAGAGATTCCATGTCCAGTGGAACTAATGGAAAACTTAAATTCAGCGATAATCTGGTGACCAGATAGCAAAATAAATTACAAAGCTTAAATTTATGGGCTCATATATCTCTCTTATTCAGCATGAATCCAAATGTTTCCATGGCTGCAATGTAACATTTAATTGCTAACCCATTATTTCCTTTGTAAACAAATTTTTGGGCTTCACTCGTGTTGTAACATTCACGTAAAACAAATCACATAAAAAAAAAGAAGTGTTTTGCGTCCTGGAGTAGCAGCCACCGCAGTGGTGTGGGTTTCAAGTTAACCGGTAAATTTCTAAATGAAGTTCGGGGAAGCCATTGTGGCTCTCTTTCGTACATTATCAATTCCTTGCGTGCAAACGAAAAACAATAACACAATAAACTTGCTTTCAAGATGCCTGATGTTTGAGAATGCAATTGTGTGACTTGAGATGGCATGTGATGAGATTGATCCGCTGGTTAGTCCACATCAAGCAGCATAACAGGCTGTTTTGCACAGCTAAAAATGACTAGAAGCGGATGACACAAGAATCCAGACACATTTAAGCTAAAAAAGTGTTCGCTCTGATGTTAGAAATAAGGTGGATAGCCTACAGAACTATGCATACAATTGTGTCCTCACTTCCTGTTATCATTCAGAGCAGCTTAATCTTACCTCATCAATCTCCCTGATCCAGCGGTCTATCCCATCAAATGACCAGCGGTTGGTGATGTCATACACCAACAGGATCCCCTGTAGAGGCCAAACAAACAATGCATTGTTAGCCGGTATCCTGTTCATGCAGTGAGGAGGAGGGACGTTAACAGACTAACAGGACATGAACTGTGCTCGGCAAAAGCATTTCAACACTCTCGAATCCCACTAGTGAGAAACGTTCTTGCTCAATTCAAACTTCTGAACTCACCTGAATATAAACATACTGGTCCTTATGGTTTATGTAAACTTGTTTATAGTAAGTGATGACCTTTTGCCTGAGCACTTAGAACAACATTAGTCCTCTGACCAAGAACATTAAAGTGACACTTTACCTGCGCTCCCCTGGAGTACGACCTGAAAATGGTGCAAAACCTGCCTTGTCCCGAGGTGTCCCTAGAAGCAAACAGAGACAAGTCAGGACAAAAATACTTTAAATACCATGTCAGTAAAGCTTGACACATCATTTCAAATTTCAAAACACAGTGAGCTGAGGCACAAAGGCATCATAAGCAGATTTCTGATGAGAGAGCTGTCCCAAAAGGTAGGGAGAAAAATTGTCCTGCCTTTTAAGTTACCTTCTTTTGGCCACAATCAAATTCTTAGCAAAGGCAGCAATAGCAGAATACACTGTGACAAGCTCTTTGAAAAATGCAATATGGCAGATGAACGAGTGGAACACAATTAAAAATATAGCTACTTACAGAACGTGCTATGCATTTCCTACGCCTTTTAGAGTATAGCACTGTTGCTAACTTAACAACATGCTAATATTAAACTCAAGTCTCCATGCTTCGCATTAGGAATGCTATTTGTGTGGCCCTCAGAGTTAATGCCTATGAAATGAGTTCCAAATCTGTCACTTAAGAGGTTCTATTTCAGGTAGGATGCTCCCTTAAAAGGCATCTGCCCATGTAGGCAGTAAATAGAAGCTCACTTCATTTTTGGAACAAAGCTATCAATTTGAAATCGACACTGTTTTGGACGCTGAACTGAGTTTAGAGTTAACCCAAATACAAGATGACTCAGGCATTTGTGTTGGCGTCACAGGCTAGAAAAACGAGTTTTCCACTGTAGCACGTCCACACCCAAAATAACCTTTCCAGCTGCATTCACTCAGTGAGAACATTCACACAGTTAAAGTGGCTGTAATTGGCTGGAAAGTGTTAAATATATCTGCATTAAAAAGTCAGTGTGGCCATTGCCTTTTTGAAGTGGTGGGACTGAACCCACTCTTGAGAATGCCGTTTAGTGCTGTCGTATCAGAGAGCCCATCAGATTTACCTGGGAGCTCTGAAAAGTGCGTTAGCAAAGCTAGATGTAGAACGAGATGAAAGCCCCGAGGACAGACTCTATGAGAAGGTATATGCAGTAAGAAGCCCAATTACTATAAAGCATTACATTATATAGTCCAGCACATTGCAGCACACCATGGGAAAACCCTCAAGGGTTTTGAAAATTGCTCCTCGGGCACTTACTACACTCTGTGTTAACGCTAATGAGCTTGTTGTTTGTCTTCGTAATGTATAATTCTGCTGTCTTACAATCTAATGCCTTCCTGATTAGGAAACTTTTCTGTCTCAGTCTCTGGGGAAGTGGCTAAATGCTTCTGAGGATGTTTAACAGCCTCTCAGTTTGGAACTTTCTCTTATTTATGTAATTATGTATTTTTGTATCTATACAATTTTTTTATCACGCGATTAACAGTCTTTTTGGCCTAGCAAACTTTGCAGTTTTCTTTCACATGCTTTTGTAACAGGACGTGGCATGCGCACGCTGCGCTATTTCAATGGCTTGCGTCGCTCGAGGACATTTTGTTGCTTCGTCGACCAAAGGGCAAGCTGATCTAGCTAGACTGTAAACAAAACAACAGGCACGCCGCACACACACATTTGGGCTTGCGAGCCGGCCAAATAGTTGGCTAACGTTATGTTTTGAGTGGATGATGAGCGCGAGATGCCGAAATGGATGCCATAAGATTCTGAATGGAAAGTTTACTTTTGAAAAGTTGCCAAATGGTTCAATTGACAAGACTAAAGTGATCTGTGTGTTTTGTCGTTGTGAACTGAGCGATCATCATCGCAGCACGTCAAGTCTGAAATACCGCTTGATGATGGCCAAGCAAACACACACAACCACAGCTGATGCGAATTCTACGCCCCCTCGTCAATATCAGGACCTCGTGAGTATTTCTTTCACCCTTTTATTGATGGACAGTGTTACATTGTGTAAGAGATTATTTGATTATTTGTGAATTTGAACACAGTACCAATGTTGTTTTCAATAAAAAAACATATGGGACAAAAAGAAATCAAGAGACATTTAGAATAGATAAAAATGTGCGATTAATTGTGATTAATCGTGAGCTAAACTATGACAATGCAATTAATCGCGATAATTTTTTTAATCGTTTGACAGCACTAATATATATATATATATACACACACTCTCACCTAAAGGATTTTTAGGAACACCATACTAATACTGTGTTTGACCCCCTTTCGCCTTCAGAACTGCCTTAATTCTACGCGGCATTGATTCAACAAGGTGCTGAAAGCATTCTTTAGAAATGTTGGCCCATATTGATAGGATAGCATCTTGCAGTTGATGGAGATTTGTGGGATGCACATCCAGGGCACGAAGCTCCCGTTCCACCACATCCCAAAGATGCTCTATTGGGTTGAGATCTGGTGACTGTGGGGCCATTTTAGTACAGTGAACTCATTGTCATGTAATTGGTTGATTAGATAATTCCATTAATGAGAAATATAACAGGTGTTCCTAATAATCCTTTAGGTGAGTGTATAGACCCCTTTTCAGTTGGTAAACATGGTGACGTTTTTATGTGAGCGGAGCTTAGGTGGAGGCAGAACGATCCCTCTGGCCGCTTCACTAACGCTAGTTAGCAAGGTTTATTAGCTTGTTTTTTTAACAATGACTAGAGAAAATCAGATTTTATCTTAATGTGTAAGGTCACTCAGTGTCCAGGACCGCGATTGTTATTTTCAAAAGTTAATTTTAACGGACAGAACCAGATTAGCCGACCCGTAGCCTTCACACGCTCACTCAATGCATGGACGATCTGACAGGATTAACGTTAAGTTACCTCGGTTGAGTGGCCTGACTTCTACACCTACCTTATGGAGAAACCGATCGTAAAGAGAAACTGAGGGCATATAAATCTTTAGATGCCTATATGGTCCTGTACAAGACTTGTGTGTACGATCTGCAGTTCTGCCGAGCCAGCGCAGAGACGACGACAATGTAAAGAGTGAAATTACGGTGCGATTTTAATCATGTGAATATTTCCTAGAATTAAAAATTCCAGATGCAGCATTTTAATTTTTCATTGATACTTGCACCAAACAACACAACAAGAGGATATTTAATAATAATAAAAGTAATTTAAGCTCCTTATTATGTAGCCGAATCTGTGCTGGCTTGTATTGGCCACCTCCAGTTTTCACTTTGTTTTGCCTCCAGCTAGCATCGTGACGTAACTGTGACGTCGGCGCAAAAGGGGTCTATACACACACATACAGTCCCTGTCAAATGTTTGAAAAAATTACACATTTTTATTTATCCTTTTTAAAGTAGGTAGTCTCATATGTTCACCAAGGCTGCATTTTTACAAAAATACAGTAAAAACAGTAATATTGGTGAAATATTATTACAATTTCAAAACATCTGTTTTCTATTTTAATAAGCTTAAAAAGTAAATAAATTCCTGTGATGTCAAAGCTGACTTTTCAGCACCATTACTTCAGTCTCATCTTTCCTGCAAAATGGGAAATAACCCAAAACTCATATCTTTAAGGTCGATGAACATGATAAGCAGTCATTTATCATTTTGCAAATCTGCCTCAGTGCTTTTTTTATTGCAATAAGGAGGAAGACCTGCTGTCTGTGGATTGAAGCTCAACTATAACACACTGATTCTTAACAGAAAGACTGCATTTACTTTTAGTAGGTGATGCATCATTCTGTCAAGACAGACAAGAGTTTACGATCCACTTACCAAAGCTCTAGTTTCACTCTCCGCCCGTCCAACAGGATTGTGGTAGTCTTGTAGTCGATTCCTGCAGAATGAGAGACAGAGAACAGTTAGATAAAGACCTTTACTTTTGTATGGTTGTCTACTACTGAAAGAAAAAAAAAAATCAGGCGTCATGGTGATTGCATTTGGTGTACTACCTAATTTAATTCACAGTCAATTGTTTCTTTCATTAGAAGGCCGTAAAGCTGAGATGACCATCTTGACAGCATTCAGTGGAGAGCCTGACAGCTGCAACCAATCTGCTGTTACTTAATGCTATCATAGCAGAAATGAGAACAGGACGCTTCCCATAAGGCGATTATCTTGACTACATTTATCATTCATAAACTGAAAACATGAACAGTACGGGATCCATTAACTGAATGGCAATATCTGCATTTTCGGTAGCTTCACAGCAGGTCAGCATTCAAACCTGTTTTGCATTTTAATAGGCAGCTCTGTCTCGAACAAAGGCTCACTGGGTCTCTTTCCATACAGGACAGTGTGTGTATTCACCATGCCAATAACGTTTGTCTCAGTGAATCATCTTTTTGACCACTTGAAAAATCTGATTATCCGTAATGCTGCCAACACGGACATGGACTACACCTGCCCGGAGTAGTCCGGGAGAGTTTATGAGAACGGTTTGGCCATTGCTTCCTCAGGAACATCAGTTCTAGAAAGGAAATCAACTTTGTTCCTCTCTGATTAGAGGAAAAAACAAAGTCAAACCCTTCTGTAGTCTATTCCATTTTGATATTGGCTGTTTACTTCCTGTGAAGACAAAAAAGTGGGGATACAGCAGAGTAGGGCTGCATGATTGAGTAGGATCTATAAAATACTAATACTAATATGTATGGCTATCTTAATTTCTTATTTTTCGAATGTCAAACAATTGAGTTTTTATTTGGCAGAAAACCACCTTACAGTTTCTCTTTTGTTGACAAAAGCAATTTCAAGTAACAGTTTTGATTTTGATTAATCATGCAGCCCTAAAGCAGAGGCTTTAAAATGGAGAAAGGGTAGGGCAAGGATGGGCGTCCATATTTTTTCCGACAGATAGATGTCGGCTGGTTCTGAGCCCATAGGCTTCGTGTGTCCTCCATTATTAAACATCTACAAGAGAATGTAACAAGAGGGAAATGACTTGCACTTAAAAAGAACCACTAGGGCTGAGTTCCTGCAGCTCTCCATCCTGCAAAAAGCTTTGCTCTTAAGCAGGGCAGCACATCAAGCCAAAGGCGCATCACACTTCCTTCCTCTAGTATCCCTCCTCCTTCGTTCTGGGTATAAAGTTTATGGGCAGATGACAAGGGCAGTACAGTGTAATTATCATCTCAGGTTCCAGCTCCGGGCTGCAGGCCAAGACTTCCCAGCCTGAAGCGGCTAGTTTTGTGGAAGAGCCTGGAAGTGAAAGCTCCAGCAGGACTTGAGGACACCTGAGAGGGATTGAGTGGACAGTGACACATGCGGGCATGTTTAATTCAATTTAAACAGCCCATTGTCAATGGGTGGTGGAAAACATAAATTGCTAACAACTGGAGAATGTGGGAGTGTTGGATTTCTTCAATGCAGGAGGCCTTTGCTTTGTGTCTCATTGTTGTGCTTGCTCATAACACATTCAGACAGTCTGAATAGCAACATGCCCAGCTCAGGAGCCAGAACTGGGTGCGTGTGAATTTGAATGTAATTTCAAAGACTGTGAGCGCATGAGAATAATAAAGCTAACATGCCTGAGGCTGAGAAAGGTAGAAAAGCTGGTTTCACCCGAGACCCTGCACTTCAACAGTATGCACACAACATAACTCCACATCTGATCATAACTTTATCATTCATCAGAAGAAATGCAGATACTCTCTCTCTCTTTTTTTTTTTTACAAAACAGTGAACATGTTTTAAAGGTTTGCTGCAAAACAACATATTACTGAGGTTTAGCTGCAAGTCTGATTTCAGACCTCAATTTGGTAAAATATCTAATGAAAACCGACTACAAATATGATAGGAGGAATAGCAGTGAATTTGTACCAGGACTGGGGAAATTCTACATATTTTCAAATTGGACTGGACAACTAATTTGTCTTCAAGGGTCAGTTCAACCATAAATCAAAATTATGTAATTATGTTTGGGGTTCTGAAATGGATGGACTTTCTTCTGCGGAACACAAAATAACATATTTTGAAGAATGTTGGCAACCAAATATTAATATATGTTTTAAAGAAGAAATAAAGTCCTACAGGTTTGAAATGAAATGGGTTTGAGTAAATTAATACAGAATTCTCATTTTTAATGTTTAAACTAAAGATGATCAAAAGTGGCAGAAAAGACATTTATAATGTTACTAAAAGCTGATTTTCCAGCATCAGGCCGAACGGTTTTTGAAACAGTAAGAACTGGTTCCAGTTGTATTTCCACTTACGCCTCGTAAGGCACGACATGATTACAAACTCTGCTCAGTCCAGATTTCTCAGAATGGTTGGATAGACTGAACCGTGCGGGTAAGATGTGTGTAGTGATGTCGCCACTCAAGATTGGTCACTTCACTTATCTATTGCCGGGCTACCAATTTCACACAAATTAATAAAAAAACAACTAATAGAAATATCTGATCATCCTCCATAATGGTTGCTATTTACATCTCATATTGTCTGTAAACTGTTGCATTACCAAGGCAATGACTGGATCATTTGTATTTAGGGATGCAACAACTAATCGATAAAATCGATGATGAAAATCATCAACAATGAATGGCATTATCGTTTGGTCACCTCTGCCGATCGTATACGTTAGCATAATGTTTAACATGGCTTGGCCTGTCAGCCCTGCTTTGACAGAGTGCTTAAAGTGTGATTTGTTTCCTCAGTGCAGAATTTTAATTTTACGGTTATATTCTTATCTACTCTATTGACGTAGATTTGTGGGGGCGTGTTAGAACGAAGCATTAAAGCATTTAACTTTTACAAAGAATATCTCATTGCGTTTGAGACTTTGAGCTTTGTAATTCTGAAGATCTTGTACATGCACAAACAGCTACATAACACACTAAAGAAAAAGGAAAACAAGAAATCTCATAATCCTGAAGAAAAGAGAATGGTTTGGCCTGAAAGTGGAGAAGCGTCTAAAGATTTCTATTAATAAATGCTGTTTTTGAACTTTCGTTTCATCAGAGAAAGCTGGAAAAAAATGTATCCCAGTTTCCACAAATATGAAGCAGCACAACTGTTTTTAACATTGATAAATAAGAAATGTTTTTTGAGCATTCAATCAGCATATTTGACTAATTTCTGAATGATTGTGTGACACTGAGGACTGGAGTAATGATGCTTAAAAATCAGCTTTGCATAACAGCAATAAATTACATTTTAAATTGATGGTGAGCAAAAGAGATTTCTTTTAAAAACATGGAAAAAAAATCATACCAAACCCAAACGTGTGAATGATAATGTACTTTAGATGGGTTCTTGTGTTCAAAAACAGTTAGGCGAAGAGCAACAAAATAGAATCAGATCTTGAAATGCATCTTGAAATGCAGGTCTTGAAATGCAGGTCTAGGTCTTGAAATGCATTTTTTAAAGTTGTTCTATTTATAACTTGACAGGCGGTCTTAAACACTGGCGGAGCTTTAAAGGAGATAAATTCAAAGATGGAAGTTTCTGTGGGTCTTACCTTACCAACTGTCACACAACTAAAATACTGCCAGCATACTAAAGCACATACAAAGCACAGCCAATAAACACAGGTTTGGTGCTCAAGGAAAAAATAAAATCTCACTAATCAGCTAGTTGGTAGTCGACCACAGTGTCCATTGTCCATAGAGGACAACTCCAGCGCAAAATAAACCTTTGGTCTAATAACATATTGGTACCTAGTCGACCGTTTTCTGAGATTTGTTTTCATGATTATCGAATGTAGAGTTGTATCTCTAAAAAACTGTTTAGTGTATAACGCTAGTATATAGGGCATAGAGTAATGAAAAATATAAATCACTAGTTAATACCACTAACAAGGCTCAAAATAGCCCCACAGTAACATAATGAGGGTCCCTATATATGCAAACTGAAGCATTGAGAACCTTGTAAGTGTACAGACAGTTTAATAAGAAGATACTTTATAAAGACAGTCCACTTCGCATATACAGGCAGGAGCCACCTTTGAAAAACAGTCTCGACCAGTTGACTCGACCGCTCCACGGGGTCAGTCTTGTTCTTTATTTCTTTGGGAATTTCTTATAGTAGTAAGTTAAATCTCACAATAAGATTATTTTGGTTTAATCTACTTTATCTGAACATACATTTGGAGTTAAGTGTGCACAATCTTTAACGAAAAGTTCGATGGGTTATTCTTACTGTTCTTTTTTTTTCTTGTTCCTTATAGCGGAGTCTTGTGAGCTGGTACACCGTCAAAATATGTTTGTGTGGTAACTTTGGACGTACAGTATATATGTACTGTTCCAGGCAATGATATAGCCGCAACCAGTCCTTTTTCTATTGAGGGGACTCAAAGGACAATTTAACTTATTTTTTATATAGAAAGTAAATTTATAAATTGTTGTAATTCAGCAAGATTTTGTTTGAAGTGTTGTTGTTTTTTTACTGGTATATTGGATGTTTTCATATTTGTTTATTTTGTGTAATGGCCATTACGTATGTGTCTCCCATTTTGTGTTCATTCGTGCTGCCCCCCAATGTATAAATTCACTAGCTGTGTATGCAAATTGAAATTGTGTTCTATGACATGGTTCTGTAGTCTCCAGACCTCTGTGTGCAATGACCTATCTTTATTGCATACATTTCTTTATTTGTTTTTCTATTATTCCAATTTTTTACTTCAGTTTTGTTCAATTAGCTTGCATAGCTTTTCTTTTTGACCCCTAAGTGTTTGCAGCAACCTGCTGTCTCAGTGTAATTTGTCCCTTCACTGGTCACATCTATAACACCACAACGTTTGAATCGAAACAGAACAGAAAGAAAATGAAAAGTACTGTTTAATGGAGAAAAACACTTGATCGTGATTATATTGCAATCGCTGCGTTTGTCTGAGCCAAATCCATCAATCACTACCAGGCCAACCAAGATGTCTGCAACCTGCAACTGTAAATATTTACAGATGTGCAATCAAAGCCAGTGCAAAGACAAATCAATGAGAGTAAACACAACAAAACCAATTTATAAGAATACAGCCTGAAAAATGTAAAACCAACAGAATAAGGAGGATTAACAAGGCTTCTCTGAACTCATACAATTATTTATTTGTCATTTAGCTAAAGCATTGTAGGTAAAGTATGTGGCTGCACATAAGCTTAATATATATATATATATATATATATATATATATATATATATATATATATATATAAAGAGTTCAGATGCAAAAGCCTCTAAGTGCCATTTGAAATTTTCTTCTAAAATGATCATTTTTATCAAGCTTGTATATTTAAGTTCAGTATACAAATATACAAGCTTGATAAAAATGGTCTTTTTAGAAGAAAATTTCAAATGGCATTTAGAGGCTTTTGCATCTGAACTCTTTATATATGTGTATATATATATATATGTATATTAGTGGTGGGCATAGATTTTTTTTTATTTAGATTAATCTCACTGTAATCTTGGAATTAATCTAGATTAAAATGGCTCATTTGAATTCTGCCGAAGGCATTCATAATATGCATGCTACCCAAATAAATAACCTCGCAGGTAGTTTGTAAGATGGGCAGGGGTGGAGCTAGACTCTCAGTACAGTGGGGGTGGAGCTTCACTGTGGGGCTCTCTGCTACCAAGTCATTTTAAAATTACATTCAATTTTACATTCAGCACAGTGAAAATTACATGGATATGCCACAATAAAGTGCAGCATAGTTAAAAATCAAGGGTTTAAAGTTTATCTTTTATTGTGCGTCGAACTGATCATGATTCATGATTCATGCAGGCAAATGCGCACTTTGAATCTGAACAACTGGATTCGACTAAGTCTGCAAGGTTTGTGAAATTAAAATGTTCATTCATTATATATTCAAAGATTTGTTTAAATTACATAAATGCATACTTGCTGAACACTGACGGCAAATCAGAAAGTAGTTTACCTTTCTGTTATAATATAAAAGCAAACACTAAAACACTTTTTGCACAGTTTATTTTCTTTGACAGTTCTATCTAGTAATGTATTAGACAAAACAGAAATCATAAAAACTGAAGACGTGTGCTGCATCCAAATTCGCATACTATCCGTCCTAAATAGTATGCGAAAATAGAACTATGTACGTCCCAAATCGTAGTATGTTGAAATTAGTGTTCCAAGGAGACCCCGATGGTCTGCTATTCTTTTATGGCCTACTCTTTTGCTACACACTCAAAAGTAGGTACTTTTTCCTTCACAAAAAGAGCACATACTTTTAGGCCGTAGTATAAGTAGGTGAATTGGGATGCAGCAAGAGAATGAGAGTGCTGGCTCAGGCGCTGCCGTTCTCAGAGCAATCAAAATAAAAATCCCACTTCCAAGACGCCAAACAGAAAAACGTAGCACCCAATGCCGATATTTAAACAAAATAATTTAAAAAAAAAAAAAAAAAATATCAGCCAATATGTTGGCATGGCAATATATCGGTCGACCACTTTTTATAATAAGATGGAGTTTTTAAACCATAAAAGCAACCTTTCTTCGCTTTAATATTTCACCTTACTCACAGCCAATGCTGCCAATACCTCCAGATACTCTATGTATAATTCCTTAAAAAAGCCTTTCAACATTAAAACAATCCGAGCACATCAGCGCTGAATCCACGGACTTCTCTTGGAGCCATCGGTGTTGATTTTGAGGGATTGCAAGGCAACTCTTTTGAAGCTGGATTAGCAAGCTCCCCAAGAACACTTCAGAAATCAGCCATCACTGACTACGTGCAGCCAATAACCCGTTCAAAACCAGGATATTAGCAATAACCTGGTCGCGAACGGCCATGTAAACACCGGCAAAAACCCGAACATGCTCATATCCCGGATTTTAAAAACCGGGATATTATACCTGGGAATCGGGAAACCCCTTTTCTAACCCGAATTTGGTCATGTAAACGCGTATCGGCATATCCTCATAGTGATTGGTGTTCTGCGCATATTCTATTCGCAAGGAATCTTGGTCTTTTGAGTAGAGAAACTTCTCGGGCGCATTCAAAAATCCGCGTGCAGTATACCGGAAGTAAACACGGCGAGACGCAACCTGGATGCAGCACAGCATTCTTTTGGAGCGAGGTCAGTACCCAGACAGCAAACTGACATTGAATCAACGTGGAAACGACGTCTCTCATGACATTGAAACAACGTTGATTTGCTCATCGAATTAACGTTGAACCAACGTTAGACGCGGCATTCTTCAAAGCTAAATGAAAATCGAAAATTGGTTTGCTTTCATAACGTTGAAACAACGCGTTGATTTCAAGTTGATTTTCCATTAGTTTTGAAAGAATGACGCGTCTGACGTTGGTTCAACGTTAATTCGATGAGCAAAACAATGTCAGATCAACGTTGTTTCGATGTCATGTTTCCACGTTGATTCAATGTCAGTTTGCTATCTGGGTAACGTTACCAGCATCAACAAAGCGCAAACAAAGGCGATCGCTATGATAGCGACGCTATCTGCCCCAAACTATTCATTATCCGCGTGCTTCTGTTGCTGTTGTCTTTGGATGCAGGAAGAAGAATCGGAAATGACGTATATTGCGTCTTAAAGTTGTCTGTACGTGAGACGCTAACCGCGCGTCGCTGTTTACATCGGGATATTGCAATTCCATGTATACAGGAGAAACTCTCTCTGCTCACGCATGTAAACGATTATAATGTTCCAGAAACCGAATAGTGACCTTAACCCGACCAAAACCCAAAAATTGGCTGCATGTAAACGTAGTCACTGTGAGATCTCTCACACACATAAAACAGAAACATATTGTTCCCTAATAGCTTCAAGCAACAAGATAAGCAGCAGTCCGTTTAAAAAAAAGGGATCCCAGCTCACATGAGGCTCATCTGGATATGAAAGGCATATCGGTCTATAATTGGTCTATCACCTCACTGGCTTCAGCCAAATGACAGAGCGTGGATGATCTCATCTCATCACAGACGATGGAGAGCCATTAAATAAATCAAATAGAGAGCTTGTGTTTAAAACTGGTCTTGACGGTGTGCTGTACTGACCTGTTCAATGAAAACAGACACTTCCAACTTCTTAGTCATGTTTACTTGTGTGTTTTGTATCCTGAGGAAAATCTCTGTGCTGTAACACTCCCTGAAAACATCTAGTATAATGTGAACTAATAAATAAGAGTTCAACCAATACAGATTTTTTGATCAGTACTACTAATACAGATTATTTTTGATAGCATCTCAAAATTAAATTAGATATAATCATTAAAAAATAAAGAAAGAGAAAAAAAACTTGCAACTACTAAGATCAAAAATAACTTTCAGAAAGAATACATTTTCAGAATCACACTGGGTGTTGATTTTCCCCATGATCGTTATAATTGTGACAAAATAAAACAAATTCAAATTGGTTCTGCTGGTTATCAGGTACTTGTCAGTCATAAAAAAGCAATATGGGTTGATTTCTACTCATTACCCATATCCAATATGTAGAACTGATTTAAATGATTGTTTTATTCCTACTTTTAATACAATAATAACTAAATGATTATTATAATACAATAATACAACAATTGTTACATTATTATATTATGCAAAGTTGATCTGTGATCTAGAGGGACACAAATGTATTTTTTGTCATTGTTTAAGATTTCTAATTTTAAAATAAAAAGAAAAAGTTCATGGTGTATTTATCCATTGAAATGCAAAAGAACCAGCAGACTGCTATTTCTGCTCCTAAAGAAGTGTAATAAATAGTACAATTTCAGCTTTTTATATTTATCAACAACTGTTATCCATAGTCATCCATGACATAGTCAATCAGTAAATCACTCAATCATCTAATAAATGTATAATTTATCCATCAAAGAATAACCAATTAAACTGAGAAGTGTGACTATTGTATTGGTTAACAATACTGTATAAAAACGATTATCTGACCTCCACTAAAAAAAATTGTATGTTATACAATACTGACTGAGCAGAAAATGTGCAGCTTTTATATCTGATTGGCCAAATGTAAGAATTACACAATCCCCCAAGAGATAAACAGAATAATAAACTATTATCAATCACTTGCGTTTCCACAAACTACCCACTGCAATAAGCTACCCACAGAATGATTCAGCATAAACACAAAAACAATATTGACCGTGCTATTTTGAAAACCTGTTAATACAACTATTCTCTGAAAGGCTCACAGTGAGTGACAGCCTTGATCTGAGACCATTCTGGCAGAAGGATGTGTTACTCACATTCTGCGTGAAGAAGATGTGTGGAATATGTTGATTAACTCACCACTGCTGTAGGCATATGGAGACTCAGCAGATCCATCTTGAAGGCTGTCCAGAATCTCTCCTTTTCCCACATCGCTGTCTCCCACCAGGAGGAACTTGAGCAGATAGTCGTAGCTCTTCACAGGGCTGCCCTGGGTGCCCATGATCGCTCACATCAGAGCCAGGCTGAGAGCAAAGGATAGGAGACAACTGTGTGTGTCCCTCACTGATGTCAAAGATGGGCCCTGGATCCTCCAGAGCTTTGGGGGTCTGAGTCTCTTGTGTCAGGTCTATCTTTAAATGGGTGTCAGGCCAAATCAGCAGACAGACCAAATCAAACCATTTCCCACCCGTCCAGTCCAGACCCGGAAATGGTTTAAAGTGTACAGCCTTTAAAATGTCCAGCCGTATTCACTCGTCCAGTCTAAATATTGTAAAATAATATGGATCATCAGTGCATGCATACTTTATTGGCTGGCAAACTGAGCAACTAGATTGTTTACATTTTCTCCGACACGCTCAAATCATCGTTACTGACGAGAAATGAAAATAAAACGCGTATGAGTCTCAAAATTATTTAGCAAAACATCTGTTTTATCATGGCAAATTATTGCTATAATAGAAAAGCAATGGAGCTATTAAGCTAGTGCATTGTTAGCATTCGCCTGCCAACCTGTCATTACAAAGAAATAAACTCATCACAATTTTATCTCATAATCACCAGCACGGGTCTGACAATATTAACAATAACTAATGTAGATTTGTTATCGTTAAACTGATTAAAATCCATTAAAGACGAGCCGTTGTTCAGATGGAGTAACACAGCATCGGCTAACGCTACTAAGTTAGCTATGAGCCTAGCGCGTCAAAAACAAGCGCACAACATTGATTTTATATCATAGTTAAGGGAATAAACTTCTCACAACCACAATATGTTCCTGCAGCAATTTGATGTAAGAAAAACTTCAGCCTGACAAAGGGAAGAAGGATATCCACATTCGCGCTCCAGTTAGCTTGAGCAGCCGATGCTAACTCGTCTGGCAGAAATCATGGCTCCATTTCTCTGAATAACAAAGATTCGCGCTGCTCGTCTCGGGACCTCTGCGCGTTATCAGTCGCGGTAAATAAGGGATCAAACAATAATCCAATAGACCCACAGGTTATTATTGCTTGTGCTGTAAATGCTCTCGCATACCCAAATATGTCCCATGTTCTCTCACAGAGGAGAGATCACACACACTGTCACGCTGAGCTTTCACCTCTGCGTACTACTGCGCTCTGACTGATTGTGCCTCCCCCTACACACACACACACACGCACGCACGCCAAACAAAATATCTAAATAATATTAATTTAAAATTAATTAAATTAAATATTTTGATTAAATTACTAAAAATAAATTGTTTTAAATATACCTTTATGGTTTGGAGGATGGATGGATGGATGGATGGATGGATGGATGGATGGATGGATGGATGGATGGATGGATGGATGGATGGATGGATGGATGGATGGATAGATAGATAGATAGATAGATAGATAGATAGATAGATAGATAGATAGATAGATAGATAGATAGATAGATAGATAGATAGATAGATAGATAGATAGATAGATAGATAGATAGATAGATAGATAGAATTATATTATTTTAAATATACCTTTTAAAAATCAAAATGGATGGTTTTCACCTTCTGTTCACAGTGCTTATATTACATGTTGTTGCTCGTGTGACAGATGCGGGAGGGTTAATGTGACAGAGACAAGCCAAAGGTCTCTGCACTTTCAGGGAATCCTCAAATGAAGATAATACCCCTCCCCCTGAATAGATTAAAATGCAAATTGAAATATAAAGTCTTTGTGTCTCCCCATTGAGATTAGAGCTACATGAGGGTCTCAATAGAGACAAGGGGACATCTGGACCCTGCATCAAATTCTATACCAGCCATTAAAACCATAAACGCTCACCCATCATTTGATATTTGAGAAAACTGTTTTGAATAGAATTCTATCATTTTCCTTTGTATGTTCATGTTTAGAGACCTTCTCAGCTTCCATAAATTATTATAATATATGACCATACACTGTACAGTATAACATAGGCACAATCTAATATGTGACTATACAAAATACAGATAAACGTTGCCCTATCTTTCTATGTATCTATCTATGTAAAACAGGAAATAAACTGTAATAAACAGATATTTCAATTTTGACTACCCATCTTTGTGTCAGATACACACACAAAGGTGTTATTCCCTCAACACAAACATGCAGGTGAACCCCCAGGCCATGTTTTTCATGTCATTGAATAGTCAGTTGCCACAGCAGTCATTGTTGTATGGTGCTCTCAAGTCTATTCTGAGCACATTCTTCACAGGCTCCCAAAAAATCCAACACTAGTATGTTTCTGAAAATGGGTAAACTTTAAATAGCAATTGTTTATAGCGCAAACATGACTCGTATAAGAAGGACTTAAAAAGATACTGTAACGTGTAAAATTATTAAATAAACTTTATTGAGGTAAATCAAGGGTTTAAAAATGAACATCAGAAATGTATACTTTGATAATCTATACAAATAGTATTTTATTAAATCATTTATATTAATAACAATAGCTACAAAACAACCTTGATTTGGCAACACTGACATAACACGCAGTTTATGGTCAAATAATTTAATAAACAAATCTACAATTAAACTCAACAACACAAGAGGCAGTTCACATAAATCAGCTAGAAGACTCATAAAACTTTAAACACATTAGTTTCATAAACTTCTACAAGTCATTCCCTTTCCATCTCATGAGAGACAGAAAAAAAAAAAAAAAAACTGAAGAGAAGTCAAAGGTTTTACTTCCAGTTCAAATGACCTAGATGAAGTTATGGTTTTGATAGAGTGACTAGTCTTAAAATTACATTTATTTTTAAAATGGCACATCTTCAATGTTATACAAAAGTAGAAGAAGAATAAATACGATACATAAATCACAGTTTCAATCAAAGATTCTGGTCAGTGTCTAGAAAAAGAAAGATTTAAATCAACAATGTAGGATTATTTCCATTAAAAACCTAATTAAGACTATCTTGAAAGTCAGCAAAGTCTGACCAACACAGCACCTTCTCCCAGTGTGCAAATGTCTAGCTGCTGACTTCTAAGGGGTCTTGCAAGATCCCCAAAAAGTTAGTCTGTCTTAGTAGTCTTCTGCTTCCAGGGGTAAATTAGTTCTCCTACAAACAGTTTCTTGGCCAATGCAGCCCAGGAATCCTTAGGGTAACAGCTATAGGTGGGTGTCCGGTAACACTGCAGTACTGAGCTGACCTTTAATGGGTTGATCTGAAGATGGAGAGAAAAGATTTTTTTTTTTTTTTCATTTTCGTTTGCTCATCCGGAAAATGATTCATTCAAACCTCAGACTCAGAGACAAGTAAAGCACATCCAGTGTTTGCACTGATTCTGTATAATACAACAAACTGCACAGTGAGCCAAACAGAGCTATTCAATAACCCATCCCACAAAATCAACATCAAACACAAACCTTAAGTGAAACCCAAGCATAAATAAACAACAGGATGACATTCTGTTTAACCAATAACCAACCTACCTCCATCATCAGGTGAAGAGGAGTTCCTGGATCCTGACAAAGCACCTTGAATTTAACCCCCTCTGGAATCCAAATAGATAAAGAACCTTTACTAGTTGATCAGTTATGTAGACACATAATTGGCAAGGACATGGCCTAGAAGTACATTTATAATTTAATCTTTATCATCAATAAAAAAAAAAAAAAACTTGTCAAAAGTTATGAAAGTTTTCTTTCTTCAATGTTATATGGCTCACCTGCCAGCCTGTACGGTCTGCAGATACGTAGGCCAATGGCAAACAGGGGGAAGGAGTTGATGAAGTCGACACTGAGGTGAATCACTCCCTGAAACAACACCACCACCAGCCGCAGCTAGAAACGGACAAGGAAACAACTCATGTCTATGAGATTTCTAAGTTTATGATTTATTACTTATATCACAGACAACAAAAGTTGAACTTCAACCTCACATTTTGTGCTACGGCACAGCCATGAACCAATACATCCAGTAGACTTTTATTGGAACATTCTACAAAACCAGTAAAAGCCTGTTACGTGCACTACGGTTTAGAAGTGTGGGATCAGTAGTTTTTTAATAAATTAATACTTTTACTCAGAAAGGAAGAATTAAATTGATCAAGTGGCAGGAAAAGTGACTGTAAAGACTTACATTGTTACAAAAATTATGTTTCAATCAAATGCTGTTATGAACTAGTCAGCAAAATCCACAGTTTCCACAGAGAAAAATGAAGCATCAACTGTTTTCACCATTGATAATAAGAATTGTTTTTTGAGCAGCATATCAACATATTAGAATGATTTCTGAAGGATCATGTGACACTGATGACTAGATAATGATCCTGATCAGAGGAATAGATTACATTTTAAAATATATTAAAATAATAAACAGTTATTTTGATCAAATACATGCAGCATTGGTGAGCATAAGAGAAAAAAAAAAATTGTACTGACCCCAGACTTTTGAACGTTAATTTACAGGCAAATAAACATGATCAAGAGCTTAAAGGTTCTCTAAGCGATGTGGGGCCAAAACATTTTTTGTCACATACATCAAACGTCTCCTCACTATCGGCTAGCTGCCTGTCCCCTAAACACACTGTAAAAAAACACGGTCTCTGTAGACACCACAGGCTCCAAAAACGGCAACAAAAACAATCATGTCTCACCCGGACCACGAAACCTAACAAACAGTGTTCCAGCCAATCACTGGCAAGAAGTATTTGAGGGTGGGTCTGGGGGGTTAGTGCGCGTGCACATGAAGGGGGTGTGTGTGTGAAGGAGATAGAAGCATCAGAGCGAAGTTTGAAAAATGGCCGACACACGAACAAATAGACGTCGTTCTGAAGAACAAATTAAAAAGAAAAAGGAGTCGGATAAAGAACGTGCGAAGGTCCGAATTTACATCGGTAGCAAAGCTTTTGAACGATGGCGAGAACTCCGGCGGCATGAAGGGCTTCCAGTCCGACATTCAGGTTGCTCTGTTTTTGCTGAACAGGTGGGTAACGTTAAATTGTTTTTTTTTCTTCTAAATTGACGCTTTATGTTCGCCAAACCCACACACGGATATAATTAGCTAGAACTATGCACGTTCACAATTATTTCAGGAAGCACGGAAGGGAGGGGGAGGAGATGAGATGCGGCGGAGGGAGGGTCTAGCTAGCCTCCGATTTGTTTGAAAATATTCCGAACGTCAACAACACCCAGGATCGCTCAGAGAACCTTTAAGACTTTACAAGTGTGAAATTAGCAGAGAACTGGATCAGATGCTCCAATGGGACTGGAATAAGGATGAAGTTGAAACTCATGTCAGAGTGACTCACCAGGGTAAAGACCAAGTAATACAGGGCAGTGGTGGGAAGCAGGAACAGCAGAATCGTAAAGAGCAAAGTGCCAATGAACAACTGCAAAGGAAACACAGCAGAGTCAATCATGTTCTGTAAGGTTGAGTTGAATAGCTAGTACATAAATGAGGAATATAAAAAGTTTGCAAGAAGAGGAGGTGCACCTGGTCCAGGTCGTATGAGCACGAGTCAACCCGCTGCCTCAGTACATTCCATTTCTTTCCCCTGAAAAGTCGCCACAGGGAGGAAAGACCATAGATCTTCAGACAGTAAAGCCTGACCAGAGAGAAAAGTAAGTACAATTCAAAACACTGCAATTCTCAGAAAAGATTGTGTAAGATTGTGAATGTTGTGTAATATGTAAAAAGATAAAATCCTCAAGACTGTTAATAAAGATGGAAGTTAACTGAGCAGACAGATTTGAAATAAAACCTCAAAGAGACAGTTAGTACACCCAAAAACTGACCCACAAGACCTGTATAACTTTCTTTCATGTGTGGAACATAAAAGTCACTTTTATTCCAACAATGTGAGGTAATGGTGATCTCAGCAGCCCTTTTAAGTGGCCCAATGTAATTATAAAGGATAAAAGATTGAGACTGCCCTCTACTGGAAAACACTGGAAGTGCATGGACATGACAGTTAGTTAGAAAACTACACGCAGAACTACAGAATTGAACCTCACCTTGCCCCATACACATAAAAACAGTAGATGTGAAAAGTCAGGAGGGCCACAATGTCGGACAGTATGGAGAGAGCAAACGTCAATCCCAAGCAGGCTGAGAGTCCAACATACCACAGGATCCTCTCAATGAAAGGAGACATCAGGTGGATGTAACCTGCCGACACAATCACAAGACATACATGAGCTTCTGTAATAAGTTTGAAACAACATGAGACCGCCTCAACTGAGGATGTACTTACTGATCCACAGATGGATGTGATAGAGGAAGAATCTCCCCAGCACCTGGTCGAGAGCTCTGTTCATCTTCAGTCCAGCAGGAGCTCCCATCAGCCATTCTAACAGCTCCTGGAGCTCTTTAGCCACATGCTGCCAGATATGTTTTTTTTTTTTTTTTTTTTAAGAAATTAATACTTGTTCATTTGATCAAAAGTTTATAAAAAGAGTTTTTTATTTCAAATAAATGCTGTTTTATCTGAACCTTTTTTATTCATCAGAGAATCCACTAAAATATTAGGCAGCAGCACAACTGTTTTCAATAGTAATGAAAGTTTCTTGTGCAGTAAATCAGCAAATTAGAATGAATTCTGAAGGATCATGTGACACTGATGACTGAAAATTCAGGAATAGGAAACACAGGAATAAATTCCATTTTAAATTATAGTGAAATAAAAAAACAGTTATTTTAAATTTTAGTAATACTTCAGAATATTATTGCTTTTACTTTATTATCATGAAATAAGTTGTACTCAATTTTTAAATTAGATCTGCAAAAGTAATGTTATGTGTGTCATACTTACATCTGCCACAGGTACCAGAGTATCCGCTAATTTGCTGATACGATTCTCCCTATAAAGCCACGAGACAAGCAGCAAACCAAGGGCTATGTCCACAAGAAAGGACACAAAAATGTTTGCTTTTCTGCAGAAGAGTGAAAAAAGAAGAGTATGAGATTATGTTATAACAATAATGTCATAACATGATACACCATACAAAAGGCACATGTGTTTCAAAAATGTCATCAATTACTCACGCTCATGTCTTTCCAAACACCTAAGACTTTTGTTCATCTTCGAAACTCAAGTTAAGATATACTAGGTACCTGATTGATTTCTGTCCCTCCATTGAAGCTTCATTGAACCATGGAAGCTCAAACGTGCTGCGTAACATGAGAATGAATCTCATTGGTTCTTGCAGAAGCTCAAACGTGCTGCGTAACATGAGAATGAATCTCATTGGTTCTTGCACATCAAGGGAACATGCTTGAGTTTGCATTTACCACAATTGATGTGTGAGTTGATGAATATGTGAATAAAAGCCTAAATTCAATATGTTCAAAACAAAATATTCAAATGTGTTTGTTCAGAAAATTTGGACTGCTGTCCAATTCACATGGATTAGTTTACGATCTTATGAACTTTTTGACGAATCAAAGTGGTAGTTAAATAGCTAGCAAAGGAGAGACAGAAATTGCTCAGATTTCATCATAAAGATCTTCATTTGTGTTTCAAGATGAACGAAAGTAATACAGATTTGGAACGACATGAGGGTGAGTAATTGAAATGCTCATTTTTGGGTTTTAAAAGATTTTTCTTTTTCGCTATCAATGGTGCTCTTATGTCATTGACCTACAGTATGTACAATACCTCATAAAATCCATGTGTGTTGCAGCTTTTTTGGGGGAGAAAACAGCCTTGAAATGAACTGCCCTGTACCCTGACTGAACACAGGTGGACAGCTTGCTCGAGATGAACAGCACCGGGCGACTATGTAAAATCCTGTAAAGTACCAAAGGTTTTTCATTTCAGTTTTCTCCATCACTCTTCAGTATTGGCAACAGGTTCAAGCTGGAACTCATTAACTCACCTGAAGCTGCAAAACCAGTGCCACAGAGACAGCAACCACGTTAGGAAGATGCAGACCGGAACGGATGCTTGTTTTAGAAGCTCTGCAATAATACTAGCCTCTCTGCCTTCAGACTGCCAGTGGGTGAGTTTGAGAGGCCCGTCGTCATATTTGTCCAGGAAAAAGAGAGGCTGACTTTGAGCCACTGTCTGGAAGACCAAGCGCAGTTCTGAAGGCTCAATGTCAGGCTTCTGGCTGACCTCCTGTACCGGGTGAAGCTGGGACAGCATAACCTTCCTCTGGTCGTAATGAATGAAGATGATCTTATCTTCCTCGCTGCTGTCATCGTCATTCTTCTCCTCCCGTTCCTGTAGAAGTTTCCCATCTTTCTGGACCACCTGGCAGGTAAAGCCTGTTTTGCCAATTTCACGGCTCAACTGCAGCCAATATTTCTGTGGAAAGATAGTACTCAGGTCTTTTAGAAAGCTGTCCATTCCTTCTTTTCCTTCATTGGGCATACTCCAGGAACCCAGGACAGTGAGATTCACTTGAGACTGGCTCTGCATCTGACTCAAGTACTTCTTCACCTGACCTGGTATGAACGGGTAGTGAACAACGGCCAGAACCACAGCAGAATTGTGACCTGGGACCCAGTGGCCAACCAGCAGGCCACTGTCAGCTGTATTGCAGCACTGAGGAAAGAAGATCTTCAGCACCATGGTTGTGCTATAAAGTCCAGCGACAGTGAAAGATACAGTCCTGTTTGGGCAAAAGGCACAATTAAAACAAGCAAGCATATAATAAGTACAATTGATTATATATATGCATATATAGCACTTTTATAGGGCATAGTTTTGAGTTATCAAGTCAAAAATGAACGTGTAGTTGACTTAACAACAGCCTCCACAGACCGAGCGACTGAGGGCAGTTTTGTACTCGTGCCCTTCAAATGCATTGAACACTCCGGTCGTTTCTATGGAAACCACACGCTCCGGGCAAAAATGATATCGATTTAATTTGCATTATTACCATGACCAAATGCAGGGACATATTGCTGTATTTAGTAGTAAAGTAGTCAAAAATTACCTTGTGGATTTTGAAGGGCGAAGACTTCTGAGAAGTTGCTTCTATTACCGACAACGAGCAAGTTAACTCTACTAACGTTATGTGCGTTTTAAACAACACTGGCATGCTCTCGAATAATAATAATTAAAAATGGTCACGCAAATTCATAGGAAAATAGCACCAGAGAGATAACAGCGCTGTCCAGACTCTCGTTTAACTGAAAACCATTCCATAGGAGTAAACCGATCATACCGTTCGTAACTTCGTATTGTTGATAGTCCGTCGTTAAAATTCCGCCGAGTGAACTCAAGGGATATTTTCAGTTCCGACACAAATGGCTCAAACATGGGCTCAAGTAACGTTTGACTATACATCTGTATCTCACGTTCTCCTCAATATATTAACAAATTATTTAAAATGCAATTTAATAAAAACGAAATCAAATTTAAAATTTAAATTTAGCTTATATACATTTCCAGCTCAACTGTTATCAGTAAAGTGAGCAAACTGTTATTAAGATTTGGCTGTGAAGGACCTTTTCCCCAAATCTATTGATTACCACTGTAATTTTTTTGTTTATGTCGTTGATTTCATCTCATACAGCACAATATTTTTGCATTGCATCGTCTTTGCTAAATATGCCTAAAACAGACCTACAGTATCTACAAATCCATAATTTAAATGCATATGCATAATGTTAATTTTAATGCATAATATTAAGATTATTTAAACACTCTGAATTGCCATTATGTATGGAAATTAGTAAAATAAATAAACTTGCCTTAAAATCCTAAAAGCGTCTACATGAACTGTCGACCGGTGAATATTTGAATGGGAATCGTAACCTAAATGAAACGTTATTATCTTAACCTTCAAGACAATATGGGGCCACACTAAAGAACCAGCTTTACTTTTCTGATAACAGCTTCACGTATGATAAGACTTGAATTTTAGGAGGGAACCGAAGCAAAAAAAAAAAAAAAAAAAAAGAAAGAAAGAAAAAAAAAGCTATGGATAATATAAGTGTTTTTTTTTTTAAAGAAAATAAAAATCTTTCTTTGTTTAAGGACAGTTTGTCAAACAAAAACAAAACATTTAATTGGATATTGACTACCATTTGCACCAATGTTTGTCCAATGAGAAAGCAACTTTTGCTGTGCTTGGCCCGAGTCCGGCATATCTACATCAGTCACTAGACATATATGGAACATTATTTCACTTTTCTAAATTAACTGAAAATTATGTGTAACTTAACTGAAACAACCGATGTGTAAATTAAGTGTAAATGAAGGTAAACCCATGTTGTTCACAGAAGATGGCGCTAGAGTGAAATAAATGTTTCCCAGAATATCAAAGAATTATTGCATGAATGCGTTCAAATGTTTTGAGACAAAATTAGGCCTACATCATTAATCATTTTTAATTATCAACCGAAGACGTTCTTAAATAAATTCAGTTCAGTAGCCTACTGTAATAATAATAATAATAATAATAATAATAATAATAATAAAAAACACCAAAAAAAAAAAAAAAAAAAAAAAAAAAAAAAAACACCATGAGCTAAAAAGAGAAAGTCTGAAAGTCACAATGCACCCTCATGTTGTTTTAACCACCGGTAAGCTACTGAAAAAAATGTTGTTAACCAACTCGGTTGCCATTGACTTCAACAGGGCACATGGTGTAGGGCAGACTTACATAATCAGGAGCCACGACGTTTGGACAGGTGCCATCGGATATATGCAACCGGTCTGGCTCCTGATTATGTAACTGTAGCCTATAGCCTACCTGTGCCCCATTTGCACGCAATTTGTTAGTGAACAGCACTTACAGTAAAGATGACACGTGATTTTCAGTCAGTCACGTGATACGAAATTTATAAAGCAAATATCGCATTTTATCGCAAGGAATTTTTCATGAATTCTCTATGCCTTCAGGCCTTGCATCCACATTTAATGGAACAAGTTTATTATTCTTATTATTTTGACAGATTATTAGCTTTTAAGCGTTTTAAATAGCTGCCTTTTTGTTTAACGAGCTTATGCTGCTATAGGCTACTCCTATTTTTAAATCCAACGTTTTTCGTCAGAGGAAAACATCAAATGTATTCTTTTACAGCAATATTGCAAAAGGATTGTTGCATATGATATTATTGAAATGAGCTCGTAATGGTTTCATACAAAAATGAAAGGGAACAAGCGTTTCTAAACATTGGCTACTATTCAAGGAAACCACACTTGAATAGTAGGCTACATTGTTTTGATCACGTGACTTAAGAAAATTTCCAAATGAAAGTGACCAGTTTATTTTCTTTATCAGATGTCTAAATTACGACAGCTTTTAGCGAGACATTAGGCTGACAGATACAATTATTGAGTAGATAAAGATGAAAGTGAGGTTCAGATAATATTTACAACTTCGTAACATATGTTTTAGAGATGAATGATATATTAGGCTACTACTAGCCTATACCTATTTAAAGCTATTCTGTGTTTTCCATAAATAGCACAAGGCGACTTATTTGAAGAAACAGCGCCATCTACAGGAAATTCTTGTGGGAAAGCAGTCTTTCACTTTCATTTTCCCGTAAAGCATTGGAATATGCATCAAGAAGAAAAGACAAAAATTTGAATAGCAAACACTGCTTTTCAACCATAAAGGAACTAGGTAAGTATCATTTTCATGTGTGTAATTATGTAAACGGATTGTATGCTGCAATTCCTTTGGCAGATTTCTCCTTAGCTATGTGTGATTTTGATCTAAATATAGACGTAAATTTGGTCCGATATTATTTATCTGCAATCAAATAAGCGTATGGCTTTATGAATGAAACGGATATGCGCAAATTAAATATGCAATTGATTTCTGGTGGTCTGCATCCTCAACACCAGTTTGGACATGGGGCTATGCGTTTGTGCATTGTGAATAAACATATAGGCCTATCACTACTGCTGTTGTAAATATCTGGAGAGAAATCTGGAGATGGCATAAACTTAGCTGCTGATGATGATGCCATTTTATCCAAATGTAATTTAATCCAAATGTGCCATAACACGTTGAAGCAGTTCCTCCATCTGATAAAGAGATTTGTTTCAGGGAAAAGCTCTGATAATTCACATGCTGTTTTTTTTTTTTCCTTTCTTTTCCTCTTCCTTGGATCTAAATGTAAGTTCGTTACTATCCGCTAGTGGTCCTCCTACTGTAAATATGTGTCTTTCTGAGAAATACAAGTGAAACGAAAGTACAACCAGTAATTCTATTCCAAAGCAAACAAGTCATTGTAAAGAAATTAGCATGACTGGAATTTCAGTTTCACAATGATATCATTCAAACGAATCACAGTCGGGGCTGTTCTAAGTAGGTATTTAGTGTTTTGATGTAAGCTGATGTCATTTCTTCTTGTTAAATGGGCCCTGAAGTCATGCGTAAGTCTCTCTGAAATCATATGAATAACGACTGAAATCACATGCAGACAATTGATGAATGGTAACACTTTACAATAAGGTTTCATTAGGTATCATGAACTAATAATTAACTGCACTTCTAAAGCATTTATTAACCTTAGTTACTGTTCATTTCAACAATACATGATCAAAAGTTGTAGGCTATTTGTTAACATTGGTTAATACACTGTAACATGAACAATGAACAGCTTTTTATTGTGTTGCTCATGGTTAGTTCATGTTAGTTAATATTAACTAATATTAACAAACGAAACCTTATAGTAAAGTGTTACTGGATGAATCCGATGTGCATTTTTTTAATTTAAGTTTGTGCAAAATCATTAAATCTAATCTGGAAGCAGATCCAATGATGTTGTGCAGTGTTTACCATTGGAGCGTCTAAAGCATCTCTATTTGTAAGAAATGAAACTTATGGAAAAAGTGTTTGCCTAGTCCGCTGTGGATTTACGGGCTGAAATTGAGTTTCATTTATCCCCTATGCTTTACAGAACCCACTGTGGATTTCAACTGACAGTGTCACATTACCAGGACAAATGCAGACATGCATAATCCACATAATCCTTTTTTTTTTTTTTTTTTGGGTGCTATGCACTGTATGATAATAAGCATGTTCAAATCCTAGATGCATGGACTGATTAAAAAAATATTGCTTGAAAAGCATATTATTTTTAAGGCTGTTGTTTTTTTTTATGTTATTTGCACACCTGTTCTAGTAACATTTCTGCCAGTTTTATTTGTTATCATAAAGAAAATTAATATGTAAAATATATATATATATGCACACACTAATATATGCATATATATATATATATATATATATATATATATATAGTGAAAGGATTAATAATATAGTTATGTGACCTAGTCATGGTGAATCAGGCTGTATAATAGACCTAGAAACACACATGACAAGGATATTCATGTGACTCTTCACTTGAAGGTTGATCATAACTATTTCATTCATATTAGATGTCATATAAGTGGAACTTTTTTTTGGAAATGCAAAAAGTTTGTATGAAGAAGTGAAAGAACATTATCATATCACTTAGGTAGGAGGAGCTAAATCGTGAATTGATTTCACTGAAGTGAAGTAAAGTGAAGAAGTATTCCGGGAATGGGTGGAGCTGCTCGCGCTAGGCTATATACAGTTTGTAATCGCATGTCCGTTCATTCTGACATTACAAAGAGTTTCTGTCGTGCGCAGTGAGGACATCTCTATCGAGATATAACGGTGGAATAAATCAATCAATGGGAGTTCAAAAAAACCTCATTTTGGAAGCGGCGACGAGAGTTTGTCAAAGGCAAAGTTGTATTGACTACTCCTGGAGTTCATATTTGCAAAAACGGTAAGATTTACGCGGAACTAACTTTACTGTTTATAACGTTTTAGCGGTCTGTTTTTGATTTAAATGAAAACAATTGCTTGTTGTACGTCATAATGTAACGCTTATAATAAGACTTATAAACTTTATATAAAATAAGTCGTGTCTTGTTTAACGTAGCAATGGTAACATGTAAAACACTTAAAATAAACGTATATTAAATAGAGAAATAATAATAAAAAAAAACTTACCTAACATAACAGTTAAATGCCTTGATAATGAAGTGAAAAGGATGTGTAACTAATTTAACAAATAAATCGAGCTGTACACGATTGAATGTCATAATCTATGTTGCCATGAAACACTCAGTCCATTGCAGACTGGTGTGATGTTCAGTACAACATGTGATTTGGTTTGGAAGGGGCCACTTATTAACTGTGTTCCTCACTTGCTTTTCAACAGACAGATGAGTCTCATCTAGATGACCTTCCTGTGGTACGGTATGGAAGACCACACCGGTTGGTCTTTCCTGTAGGATGGTGGCACACAGTACAGTGGAAGGGAATCAAGGCACAGAAGAACCCCGAGCGAGCACTGAAGCCTCCCCAGAGGTCTCCCAATCCCACAAGTCCAGACCCGGCCAGCTGGCAGCTGTTATCCAGACACATTTCAGGCCCTTCAACTTTGCGAGAGACTTCAAGACCATCGCAAAGACCACCTCAATGCTAGAGGAGAGTGGCTTCTACTGGGGTCCTATGACTGTGGAGGAGGCACATCTGAAGCTGAAGAAGGAGCCAGTGGGAACTTTCCTGATCCGGGACAGTCGTCAGACCGACGTGTTCTTCACACTGAGTTACAAAGGACAAAACGGTCCTGTGAGCGTCCGGATTAACTTCAAGAATTCCAAATTCAGTCTGACCGGCAGCAAGGAATCTTTTGACTGTCTTTTCAAACTGCTGGAACACTACATCAGTTCCCCAAAGAAGGGTCTCGTCAGGCCCTACAGGAAAGAACCAGTGCAGTCCCTGCAGCAGCTGTGCCGCAGACGGATTTTTGAAACATGCGGCGGAAAAGACATCGACCGCATTCCTGTGCACCCAATCCTCAAAGACTTCCTCCATGCCTTCCCCCATCCACTATGAAGACGAGACTCGTTGCATTAAAGCGCTGCTGGAATATTCTGGAGATACTTGATGGACTCCTCCTCGTGGTCCTGCTCTGTTTTAGGATGCAGGAATCATACTGTAGCACATTTTGGAATATCAGTCTTGAACACTGCACAATGAAAGTTTACATTGTCTGTGAATGTTTACACTATACAGGAATATTGTTTTCCTTTTATTGCGTTTCTGCTATGCAGAAAGAACTATATTTCAAGGTCATTTTTATAAAAAGAATAAATATATTTGTAAACAATTTAAAACATCTCAATGTTTACTTTATTTGTTGGGGGATTCATACACTCTGAGGCCTGAATGGAAATGCTTGAATACAGGTAGATATACTATATATATATACACACACATACACAAAGCATATCTACTTTACACAACATTAAACTAAAGTCTTTTAGTTGATCTACATTAAACTAAAGTGCTTTAAACTATTACATTTCAATGGAAGGCTTAGTGAAAACGGTTTAATTAGAAGACAAATCCAAACAAGTAATTAATTAAACAAATGATTCAAATTAAACCATGTAGGTGAGAACTTTTAAGTTTCCCTTTTAACTTCAAGCCTCACCCTTGCCTAACAAGATTCATATCTTGGCTTATAATCTATGCCATGTGCCTTTTTCTTTGGCATGCCATGTTTAAGCTATGGTATATTTTACTAGATTACAGGCTTAGTGTACCTGGATTCCTGAAATGCCATGAAGACGAGGACTTATAGGAAGTTTAGGCCAGACATTCTGTGCTGAACCACCAGGCTGATTAATCTAGGTAGTAGCGTGGTTGAGAGGCGGAGCTGTGGTGACCGTAAACTGCTTATGCCTCAGACAGACATTTACAAGAAATGAAGTGGGTTGTGAGGACTGATGGAGTGTGATGGGGAGGAGCCTGTGATCTCCAGAGACGCTAATACACAGTATCAATACAACTTTGTGACACATCTGACAGGCTTACACAGAAAAATGACTAAGAACAAAACAATACTCGGCATGAGGGGTTCACGTAAACTTTAGAGATCACTGCTTGGAATTCCACTTGAGGCTGAAGGAAGTGATCTGTACTGCACAGGCATCAGATAAGACATTGTAACACTCGTATTGCGTTTTATTTTGTGTCAGACCTCTTTCTAAGTGATTTTGCTTAATAGAACAATGGAAGTAAGCTGCTTTCGGTGTAAACCTAGTTGTGAGTCAAATCAATCATTAGCGAAGACAGCGGATGAAAGCAGGTCAAAGGTCATAAGTACAATGGAAGCGGATTTATTAAAAGGAAGCTTATCTTTGAGGAGAAAACTTTTCTGATTCCAACGAAATCATGATATCATGTTGTGGAAGTGAGGGGGAAATCATTCGTTGTGCCCGATTGGCTACTTTATCGAGGGATTTCCCTTCTTCAATCTCGACACAGAGATTACCAATTAACTTTGTGCATTTATTTCACGGGGTGAATGACACAAATAGGAATCTACCTACTTGTAAAGAAAACCAAACTCAGAAGCCTTGTTTGATAAGGTTTAGGTTTGCCGAGGTTGACTTTGGTGATGCCGTACAGGCCAGGGTTAATCAGTCTGTCTTTCTTCGCTCATCTGTGGTGATTAATACACATGAAAGAACATAGTCACTTCCAGGAAAAGAGACAGTTGTGTTTCCTTGAAGAGCCCCTAATCTCCACTGCATCTGGCCTCAACTTACACAAACATATAAACACACACATTCGGCTCCAGAGTGGTGGATTTCCTTTTGGAACCGCAATGCTCCCCTCCAAAATGCAGAGAGTGAAAGACACACAAACACACACACACACAGTTTCGCTATCTTTGTGGGGACTCTCCATAGGCGTAATGGCTTTTATACTGTATATTATCTCCCCTTACACTAACCATACCCCTAAACCTACCCATCATACAAAACTTTATGCATTTTAACAATTAAAAAACATAACTTAGGATGTTAATTAATAACCGTCATCGTCCCACAGGTGAGACGTTTGGCATTATATTTTTAAAACAATAATATCTTAGTGAAAACCGTAATATCGACAA